AGTAAAGAATAGACTGAATCGAATTCTATAGAAAATATCGAATTTCAAACGACAATTTCAATAGAAACTTCATTGAGCAAGATATTTTCTCTCAATATGTCTTTGATCATGTACTATAGAAAATTAATCAGACGGAAGCCCTTTCAAAACTAAAATGAATAATTCTATTACGCACTAAAATAAAATGTATCGTTTGTGATTGTGGCGCGCACTCTACCACCAAAATGTGTCGTAGTGAGAATATGTCGCACTATCGATGTGTTGTAGTCTGTCTGTTAACTATTCATTCATCGTTCTCTTTCTCGCGTACAGCTGCATATAACCAAGTCTTGAACCCGTGAAGAGTTATGGAATTATTGCCGTTGCATTTACAGCCGTACACAAGATTTTAAAATTGTATTTTATACTACGTCAAGATTCAGGAACTTTCGATTTGTATAAGCATGTAAATCAGTTCATGTATATTAAAGGATGTCGCATTCTTTTTGAGAATTCTTTTATTTTTACTATTTGCTTATAGAAAATTTGAAGAAAACAAAAGTCAATTTAAAAATCAAAAGTCGATAATCCGATTTTTATCTTGTTTTTCTTTTTCACATGAAGAAAATGCTAAACCAATGAAAAGACTCTATGCAACTATCTTGGATAGAAGAAGAACTAAAACGGTACTAAGTTGCAACAAGAGAAGCAAGCGTAGTTAAAGATGATGAAAAGTAATCGATTGAATTTCAATCAACTTTTACAACATCCAAAAACTGGTAGTAAAGATAAAAATAAGTTTGATAGATTGTTTGACATCTCTAATTCAATGACAATATATAGTAACATAATTATATTTAAAGCCATTACCAAGCAGAATATTAATAAAAGACCAGTTTTGCCATGCTGGAGCTTTTCCTTCACTTTGAGTATTTTTTTTAATGTTTTGGAGGGTTGAAATAAGAACCTCCTTCTTTTCCTCTTGTTTATTTTCACATTGATCCTTTTGTACTCCTCTTTTTTCCGAACCCTTAGTGCGAGACCAAAAAGTCTACAGATAATATTAATAAATTTTGATTACAGATTTCATGTGTTATGAGTTTCTAACTCATTTCATTTTTTTTTTAAATTTTTCAGTATTTTAAAGGTGGACAGAGATTGAGTACATACATTTAAAAAGTAGTATCGATATTATTATCCAAAACCTATTGAATTCGACTGATATCATTAATAAGAAACTCAACTTAAAATATCTGATAAGCCTCTTGTACGAGTTTATATTCATTCGGAATGTTTAACTAGTGATCAACTCATCAAAATATGCGCTTTTCTCAAAAGACGTATTAGCATAGTATATTGATGAAATTACTCATTTTCAAGCAGTATATTTATGCCTTTCTCAATATTTTCTGTTTGTTCTTTCATACTTTAACGAATACTTTTTGTTTGATTATCGTTCCAACTTTTAAGTTGTACAAGTCAATAAAATTTCGATAACTTTCTTAACTAGCGAATAGTGCATCATTTTCATTGAAAGATATCTTTAATAGCATATAGGCCACTTGATTTTTTCCCGAAAGAATTTTCTTACATGTTTTGTTTATTTGACAAAGTAGAATACTTTTAATATCTTTTTCGTGCATCTTCATTCATTGAATCATTTTCTTTACTCAATGCTAGAAAGAAAAACCGTGCTGCATGAATCATCACATATATTTGCTACATAAAAAGTAAAAAACTACCGATATATTAAATTCTTTTAGTTACTACAGCTCCAACATGTTGTCCATTTAACGTTCTGTTTATTTCAAATGAATGTATGATAGAACAAATGAAATGAACAAATATGATATCTTTATTCATAGACTACACAAAGAAAGGAATAAATAAAGTGATACTTTTTATAGATTATAATCGATAATTAAAATGGATATGGATCCGCTAAAATACCAATCTAATTTTAACTGTTTATTTGATGTAATAACAAAGAATTTGAATGAGTAAGCTATACTTTCTCATTGATTTTGAATGTCGTTTAGAAATATGTGATGAAGAAACGTAAGTAAGAAAAAATATTTTAGATTGTATTTTATTTATTTTCTCAATGTCATATTGTTTATCGATAAGGTGTCTTGAACATTTATCCAATGAATTTGTCTATAAAATATTCGATTATCTCGATGGTAATGACATACATAAAGCATTTTCAAAATTTAATATTTATTTTTACAATCTTCTCTTTATTTTTCGTCATTTCCGCTAAAGACTTATCTTTCATATCAATCAGAATCAACACTCAAAAATTGCTGTCGAAATCATATCATTCCAAATAAACATCGTACACTTTCACTTCGTTTAAATAGTCATTCGCTTATAGATAACTTTTTTTTATTTATTGTAATGTTGATTTGTCATTCAATCATCTTGAATCAATTATTCTTAGTGGACTTTCAGACTATAGACTTGTAATGATTCTCTGTTATTTGAATTCTTTACCTCGTCTCTTTTCATTAACTATTCAATTTGAAGACAATCGCTACTACAATATTAGTGATATAGATCGGATAATTTTTCGTTTACGTTGTTTGAGATTTCACAAGATGTCATTGTTAGATAATAATGAATTAAATATCTTTATATCAATTTCTACCAATGATAAAATTGAGCACTATTGAGCATCTAGTTCTCAATCATGAGTGTAATATTAATGAACTGAGTTCTATACTTTCTCATACACCTCATCTTCGACACTTAACTTTGTCAACATCTGTTCGAAATGGATAAAATTGTTAACAACGAAATATTAGTAACATTACCTAATGTGACGCATGTTTCTTTTGTTCGATGTACACTAAAATTCGATACATTGGAAAAGTTTATCAAAAGAATTTCATCTCAACTACAAGTATAGCATTTAAATATATATAAGGAGACGGTTTATATTGATGTTGTTCCATGGAAACGATTAATCAAATTGCATACACCTCACTTGTTCAAATTTCATTTCAACCATCATATGATTACTGAGAGGTTTGAAATTGTTCTAGATTGCAACTCAATCAATCAGTTCACATTGGTATTTTGGACTGAACGACAACGGTTCTTCGAGTTGGGGTGTGGGTGGGTGTGGGTGTGGGTGGGTGTGGGTCTGGGTGTGGGTGGGTGCGGGTGTGGGTGTGTGGGTGTGGGTGTGGGTGAATGAAGAAGAAAAAGATGCACCCATACCCACCCACACCCCACACCCACACCCATTTTCTTGTGAATCTTTGACCTCGTATGCAATATTTCCAGATAGGATGTTTAAAAAAAAGGGAACGATTTGAAGAATATGGTAAAATCTATTTCAATCAACAATGTCACAGATAATCTTAAACTTAATTATTTATGCGTAAATGTACTCAATGCAAATGAGAAAACGATTGAGGGATCAAATATGAACATCGATTTAAAGAGATTCTTTCATCCGATGAAATCTTTTTGTGACCACACAATTCAACGGATAAGTAATAAAATCTTTCTTAAATGGAAATTATAACAGACATTTTTTTTTTTGAAACTTGTTTTATTTTTATTTTTTATTACATTGTTTTTATTTGTCAACTCTAGAATAGAGTTATACTTATTATATTCTTTTTCCCACCTATCATATGATTCAATTTTCACTTCTTATCTATGTGTGACGAATAATATTCCTATAGACATGTTAAGAGAAAAAACGAATATGATGCAACAGCACTTGGTAGAAACTGACAGAATATATGAAAGCACACCATTATGAAATATTTCACCTCATATGTGTAATAATAGTGATCTAAAAAATAAAGACATCACGATGTATTCTAATTAGAGATGTACGTAATTTTCTACCATTATACTTTAACAACTCTTTTAAGATCGTGTTTCACATAATCCAGGAGAAAATATCAAAAAATGTGTTATTTTTCGACTGAATTAATGAATACTGTGTATATAAGATTTTTTTTAAGATCAGATGAAAACAAATGTTGAAATAATACCTTCTTGATTGAAGCCAAAATTGAGATCAATTTCCATAAAAAAAAGGTAGAAATACCAGGATTGTTGACAATGAAAATGTCATGATAATCACCAATACAAAAAGAAAACTTGATTCCACATATTTATTTTTCTTATACTTCCGTACTTTTCAATAATGAATTTTTCAAATACATATGAATGCAATGTAAGCTTAGTTGTTCAAAGAAAAGATAATTTTGCTAGATTCTAGTTAATCTTCCTTATATGTTTCTTACAGCTCTTCTTCATTTTGTAATGACCGATTTTCCCAATTCAATTCATTGACAATCTATGATTTAATATTTACGCGTAAAAACCTTGATGTTTCTTCGAAAATTTTCTTTTTAGTCTGTTTGATTGAAAACATGTTATTATTAGCTGCCAAAAGCAGTGAAAAATACTGGAGTTTGTGCAAAAAATGTAATGCATTACTTCAATCTACCAATCTCATGAAAGGAGAAAAGTATTTAAGTCTATGAAGTGTGAATTTAGGATAGGCTTTCGTTTTCTTAAGCATCATATCTTCGCCAGTAGTAGGTAAAATGTCGAGTGATCTTGTAACAATGTGTCATTTATCAAAAGAAAATGGAAAGTAAACAGTAATAGAAAACTTTTACAATAATGAATGCCTATTTAAGACTTTATTTACTCAATATTCGGTGCATTTGAATCTATTCAGATCTCATAGTTCCACCGACTATGACCTTGACTATCTCATTCGATTTTATAAAGAACTTTTTGAATTCTCACAGAACATTTCGACTCGAGTATCTATCATGTGGATCGATGAATGAGAATGATTGATCTGAAACTATATACCTTGTCTACGTACCGAATATACCATGTTGTCGAGCTTTCTCAGGCGCGTCGAGTAGTATCTAGTAAATCTTGTTTTCATAGGACTTTGCAGGATCTAGCGTCAATTTACTGATAGACGACTATGCAGTCACATCCAAAAGTTCTACAACATGCTATATTTGAGTTTTCATTTCTTAATATGTTCTTTATCTGAAAAGATGCTTTAAACGTCGTGACCAGAGCTTTTATTATGCCATAAGTACGATGTTTTATTTGAATTTCAACTAAATGTAGATGGCTGATCTCATTGTCAACTTATTTATTCGTTTTGTTGTTCGAAATCAATTGAATGAATTACCAGTATCGATTGCTTTTTTTCCTTCTAGACATACATCATTAACTTCGAATGATTTCTGTAAAAAGTAAAACAGACTAAAACGATACTGTTGTCATCATCACTGATTCGAAAAACACAGACACATCTATTTAAGTGACTGGTATTGTACTTAATTATTAAAATAATTGCTAAGCATATCCAAGCAACTATTTTAACAGTGTACTGTAGTCGTTTGAATATTAATTCAACATTAGTATCAATTAATACACTAATCAAAATTGTGAGGCATTTATCCAATATTTATTATTCATTATATCTGGCGAGTTTAACTCTGTTAGCAATAAAATTCTTATTTGTCAATTATATAGGATGTGAGCGTGGATAGGAGTGGAGTGAACATGCTTGATGAAGAAAACACCGTCACTCAAATTCACACTCACCCACATTAATAAAAAGATAAAGTTTTGATCGAATTCAATCATGCGAAAACATTCCAATGAACTAATCGTCGAAAAAGTGTGTGAAGCTGACAGAATAGCAATACAATGACGAAAAGAGAGACAGTTCGAGGCGTTAGTCTTTTTTCACGAGTCACTTTTGAAAGTTAATCAGAAGTGGTTGATTTTTTGCTCTAGTCTATATTTGATGTTGTTTGTCTAGTGACTGACAGTTTTTCTTAACTTTAAGTTACACTATTCAAAAAATGAAGTTTAAATGACAAAAGAATGAATCAAAGTTTTTCGAAGTCCCTCATAATTTGTTTGCGGGGGGAAGGGGGTGAGTATGATTGTGAAGCAAAGTTTTTCATTCACTTCCACACCCTTATACTCGTCACGATGATGCGACAATAGTTATGTAATTGATATCTTATTTCGTCAAAATTCTTCACAGAAAATGAGACATCCTTTTTTTTAAACAAAAAGTATAAATAGAGTGAGTTATTTATCAAACATCTTTGAAGTAGAACGTGTCTCAACAGAAAGTACATATTCGGTTGTGTTAAATATACAATTACGTGAGATATTATTGCAATTGCCTGTACACTATGTTATTGCGAAAATAATGGTTAGAGCAGAATACTTTTCTCGTTCAACTGTGCATGATGTTCATCAATGGATCTCGATATTGTACATTGTGACAAATATCTTAGTTTGACTATAGTCTCTGAATGAATTGACAATCATACATATGTTAGGATAAGTGTGCGTCTGAAAACATGCTTGAAGTCAGCATCTACGCTCCATATCATTTATTAGTGAAAAAAAAACGCTAGTTATGGTACAGAGTTTTTAAATAAAATCTATTGGTTTAAGGCAGTAGTCAAAAAAGAACTAGTTTGTGACGTTGGAAAATTGTGTCGAACCTCTATTCATGGACGATAAGTTGATTCAATTGCATGTCTTTTGTATTTTTCACAATTTTTTCAGTTAAATTTTTCAAGATTTGACACTATGTAATTTGAGAAATTAGACGATATATTTATGGTTGTATTATGTTGATCTTTCTTTGTTGGGATTCTCTTATCAAATGTAATTGATATCGAATGAGCCGATAGATCATTTCAATAAATTCCATAATTGATAAAAAACTGATTCCGATCCATAAACCTGTATGACCTCCAATATTTGAAATAACATCAACTATACCGAGTGATGATATTTGTGTATTTGTTTCGATGATATGTGATTCACTAATAACATTTACAATAAGATAATTTTCATAAATATGTTGTTGCCATGTTGTTGACCAATTATTAGGTAATGAAACAGTTGAATTTTCAACAAAATTTTTAATCGATTCTAGTTTCCAATCAATATTTAACATTGAAGATGTTGTTTGAAGAGCAAAACTATTGATTACACATTCTTGTGAACAATCTGAACAATAATTTTGAATATATGTTGCAGAAGTAAAAAGTTCATCCGATGCTGTTGAAAAGCAATCATTGGAAGAATTACAGATAGGTGCAAATATAACCTTATCTGTACCTGGCAAAACAATTGAACGTATATTCCACAGATATGGATTAATACAACCACATTTTTCATAACTTAATAAAAAAAAATAATTCATTTAAATTTATTGTTTTCTATAGATATACTTACACATAAGTTTGCAAACACACTTGAAGACAATCAGTCTGAGAATAATTGTAATCTGCTTGATTATAATTCTCAAGCATAGCATTAAATGATCTAGATATTTTATTTGCACAGTCAGTATAAGGTGAAGATAAAAATTTAGCTCGCTTTCTTCTATAACCTATTCTATGTCTTCGTCCAGGTTCTAATTCGATACCATTTGAGTCAATATTAGGAATTTGTGTATTATCATGAACAAGAGCTGTTATACCAGTAACTATGCAAATACAGTACACATATGGTACAAAGCGATACATTTTATTTATTACTTACCTTCACTTAAGTATGGCAGATATTGATAACTATGGATATAAAGACCTAAAGTGAGTACACTCACACTACCATAAGCACTTCCTCTTCGAAGACTATTCTCTGAAGTATTTTTCCATTTAGCATTAAATGTATGGCATAGACCGTAAGTTGGTGAGATGAATGAAATGAAATCAGCTGTTGAACATGATTGAAAATTATACGAACATGTAAAAAGCATTGATGATAATGGAAAAAAATAATCTTCTAATGTTTCATTGCTATTGATTTTATGAAAAATAAAATCATCAACAAAATTTGCTTGATATGGAGTTATGGTTGTTGTATCATTGGTATCTGTTAGATTTAGAGCATTAGTATAATTCAGAAAAGGCTCGATAAATCGATCAGAACGAAATGGTGCGATATTACAAAAGCTAAATGCTGCAAAGTATTGTTGCCAATCGTTATCGTAAGACACATCAATTGTTGTTGGATATTGAAAATAATTGATTATTGATATGGTTACAAAATAGATCATTATACCAGTAAATATTACAAATGAAATCGACCAAAACAAACGATTATGCATACTTTCACTACGAGCAATGCCTGGTAAAGCATGAGTCGATGTATTCAAACAAAATTCACGAATAATAGAACGACGACGACGACGACGATGTACAGCTGGTTTCGACTCATTATTCATTGTTATTCGATTAATTGAAGTGTCGTAAAAAGTATCATTCATTATGTTCGACATGAAACTCTTATTTTCTAAAGCATTAAATAGAATTATTTTTCGAAACAGTGTCTGGAAAGAAATTGGAACCAAGTAGATTTAGTTTCTCATTCACTGTAAATTAAAATAAATCTTTCTAAAGCTTTGTCAAACGATAGAGCAAATTCTTTGTCTCCAACATTGGTGCAGATTATCTCAACCTGTCTGTGCATGATAGAGACCACGCTAGATTGAATGAATCGTCTGAAAAGGAAACAATGTCTAAGTCTCTAGCTTCTCTTTTTTTTTTACACTGCAATATAAAACCATCAAATTGAATTAATTTTGCTATCAGATCGATGTAGTCGAATTCTTTTTAAAAAATAAAACTTTAAAAATGAATTCCATAAATATTTGAGAATATATATATGGAACATAGTTCTGATAAATCAAAAAGTATGATTACTGTGATGTGATTATTGATACAAATTTACAAATGTAGCATAAGTTAATTCCTTTCTGTTTACCTTTGAAATCTTAGCTATATCACCTACCATGAAACGTTCGTGCTATGTGGCAAGCTTACCAATTATCCAGTGTTACGTTTGTGCTCAGTGTAAAACTGTTAGTGACACACTCGGAAATTTATTGAAAACATTCTTTAAAAAACTTACGACATTTTTGTCCTAATATTTCTCTTATTTTATTTGTTCAACACTAAGACGACTATACAAGTATTTAATGATTTATTTACAGTAGAAAACGTTTCTTATGTAAACATGTTGTTATAATGAGCACCTGGAATCGCTAATGTTGTCCTTTTTTCTATTAGAATCGTCCTCTATTTAATCAAAACGTTTTCATTAGGAGTGCTGGAGACTTTTTTCTAATAAATATATATAGTTGGAATAATCGCTCTCATGTCCGTATTTTATTGTCTACTCTCAATCATACAAGATCTTGCATGCTTTCAAAAAATGATACAAGAGGATTTTTTTCAAAAAGGTGTGGGCATTAGTTTAAAATGCATACTCACAGTCATAGAGCTATAGCCACACGCATCCACATCTTTTTTAGTCTATTTTTTCTAATGATTTTACAAAATAATTCATTCATGAATTGATGCAAATAGCCAATTAATGTGTTCTCTTGATGTGATTCGAACTTTACTTCAATAATTACAGTACTATTCGAATTGGGCTTAATCAGATTACTAATAACAAATACATTTACTCAACTGATTTGAAAACGTGAAATAAAAAGGTTTCATATTATCGTCTCTTGACAGAGATTTTCACAGGACAGAGTGAAAATACTCGTCCTGTCTGTCGCTGAACTCTTTTTAGTTTTTTTAATACCTATCATGATTTATTAAACGTTATACACAGGATGTGGGTGGGGAGATGTGAGTGAAATTATTATGTACACTCATACCCATACTAGTGTCCTGCGGGAACGACTCTTTTCCCTAATTTTCCCATTCCCATTTAGACTTAGGGAATGGGAACATGGGAATGGGAACAGAATTAAAAATTGACGTTTCCAAAATTCTTTCTATCTTATTTCAATACACATAAAAATATTTCTATCTGATAACTGTTTATTTTCAATAACTTTTCTTATTCATATACAATTAACAGAAAAAGGCATTGGTTAAGCAGGTGTTCCTTCGTATATGCACTATACATTCAAGCTGGTGTTCCTTTTCATTAAAAAAGTGTTCCATCGTCGAATAAGAAAATGTATAGTCAACATAGTGTTCATCATATAGAGAGAATATTCCTCTTACGGTAAAGTGTTTCCCTCCCTTCCCCCAAATAGAAAATAAAAAAAATTATAAATAAATATTAAGGTTATTTACAACAAAAAATAAATGTTTTATCAATAATAATCTCAATATTTATTTATAATTTTTTTAATTTCTATTTGGGTGAAGGGAGGGGAACACTTTACTATAAGAGGAACATTCTATATGATGAACACTATGTTGACTATACATTTTCTAATTAGACGGTGGAACACTTTTTTAATGAAAAGGGACACCAGCTTGAATGTACATGTATAGTGCATATACGAAGGAACACCTGCTTAACCAATGCCAACAAGAACAACAAAACAGGAAAAGACAAGAAGTGAAGCACTATGTAACAACTTCGCGATGCGCAAAATGTGATGTCTCGAGAAACTGGTAAACATATATCCCAATGACACTTTCGCATAGATGAATAGAGCCTTGGAAAACCTTATGGAAATTATGGGAATGGGAACGTGGGAATGGGAATAGGGAATGGGAATCAGAAAAGTCGTTCCCGCAGGACACTAACCCCTACCCTATCACTAAATCTTTAGGCTTCTCCAGTATATTATCGAATAATACAGTTTGATTAGTTAATTATCCTGTAAGTGTAACTGATTGTTGATCAATGATGAATAAAACACATTTATATGTCTAACAGCGAGAGAAAGAAATTTTTTTCTTTCTACAATCATCACCATGATTCCAGTTAATAGGTTTCATATCTATTCTGCACAATAAATGAAAGTAATCAGTTGTCTTAATGAAATCAGTGGGGGAGATGTGAACAAACTCATTTTCATAACTTTGAATTGTGTTTAACGGTATAGTATGGTTTTTCACTTTAGTAACAAGTAACTTTCATAACTATTAAAAAAATCAAAATTTCATGTCTTAAAGGACTTTGACAAATTTATTGTGAAAATACATTCTTAGTCAATTTGTGAGGAGGAAAAAATTGACTTCTGGAATTGTATATCCGAACATAACATCCTTCGATATTTATTCAGATACTTTTGCTTAGTAGGTTTACAATAAAAGAAACAGAAATCAAGATATTTTTCAAAAATCAAACTATTTTAATAATCCTCACCCCTCACCCTCAAGATGGCTGTTCATTGCATGGCCGACAGAAACACTATTATACGATTAGTTCATCTTGTACACAGTTAGATGAACATTACTCGTTTTTTAGAACTTCTCCGCTACACATTGAACCTTTTAGGCTCTCTGAACAATCAAAATCACATATTAAGATATCAAAGTCATGTGTGTCATTTGAAGAGAAATTATTGATGTGAAGTTGGTGACAAAGAAAAGAAAAGAAATCTCGTTCTTTTCTTCATAAAGAAAATATGGTGTAGATCACAAACAACGTTCAATAGTTTTTGTTGACTTTATGGACACTATAGGAATGACTAGTTCAAATAAATGCTAGAAATAGAAAAAAAAACTTTTATTCGTAAACATATACTACAGAATCTTTCGACCATGTTTGAATGTTCTTCATCAGTCAATAAAATCACAGGTGTTTCAAACGAACGATCAATACGATACCATGAAAAGAATGGAGAAAAGTACTGATAGGTGGAATAAATGCTATTAATATTTTATAAAAAATCTTCAGAAAAAAAATATAAATCTTCTAAAAAAATAAAATTTCTGCTAGGCTCTATATGGTAAACATATTAAGCTATAGAAATGTAATGAAAAGTAATAGTAGGTCAAACTTTGTCTTGGTGTATGTGTAAAGCTTTTCTTTAGTGAGCAATTCTATTTTTTGTTAAGGTGATTATATATTTTTCTATTTTTAATAACAATGATCGAAAATAAAATTCTGACTCCATCTCGTTTTAGCATAGCGTAGTATAGTATATTTAACATGAAAATACGTTCAAGAATATTAATGACCATCAGACGAAGGCGTGCCAAAATATATACCTGTGTACTAGCCATCATATTCGTTTGGTTAATCAGTCATATTTTATACTACGCATTACGACGTCGTTCAGGTAAGAAGTTTATAAATGAAATGGATCTATTTCGATATGCGAGCGTTACTTGGCCTCGACGACGTATACCTCGTGTGATTCATCAAACGTATCGTACATATGCTATACCTGCTATTTGGAATACAACGGTACAATCAGTGATGAAAATGAATGCTAACGAGTTTAAATATCGTCGATGGTCTCACGCAGACATGGATACGTTTGTTCGACAGCATGAGTCTCACTTCTATTGGAGCACTTTTGTCAGTTATCGATATGATATACAGCGTATCGATTCGTTTCGATACGTACTTTTGTTTCACTTAGGTGGTATTTATATTGATATTGACAATGCTTGTCATCGTCCTTTTCGCGAATTAGTAGCCACTATGGAGGCACTCGATCCCGACTCGACTCATCTTGCTCTTTTTTCAGCTGCAGAAGTATTCGGCATTCAAAACAACTTCATGATTAGTACTCCTGGTCATCCGATATACAAACAGTTTATTTCACGATTACATCTGTTCAATCATAATTTTCTCATTTATCATGTTACTATATTACTTAGTGTTGGTCCACTCTATGCTACAATTCAAGAATACTTTTTCAAACAGACGGACAAACAAGTTGTACGTACACTTGATAATAGAATTTATCGTTCCATGTTTTGGAAGACAAAAGGAGGTACGTGGTTTCATCGCGATACTCTAATGGTACTCTATCTTTATTACAATAGACATCGTGTTTTATGGTATAGCATAATATTTGCTATGTGGCTTGCTGCTCTTTTTGTTCTGATCATATTGTTTAGACAACAGCGAAGACATTTCCTCACTGTATTGACTATGATACAGTCAAAAATTATTACTGTTCGCTGAAGAAGTCTCAGCGACGATTGATTCAATTACTAAAAAGAGAAAATTATCGAAAATTTCGTTGAAACAGTCGCTAATGTGGCTTAACTGTGAAACTTTACATTTATACAACACACATAATCAAAGAATATTGATGCTACTCTATAAATCTAGGACTTTCTGAATTGTCGTTTTCTGTATATGTTTCATGATAACTGTGGAAATGAATTTGAAATTAAGTAAGTGTAAAGCGAAAACATACACGAATTAATCGAGAAACAATATGCTAATCAGAATTAATATCTATTCATATCAGAAAATGTCGATGGAAGATCAAACATTTGTCTT